ACCTGTACAAATATTTGTTGGCCTTGATCTTTTACCTCTTCGCTCCATGCCACCTTTTCGGATTGTCCCATCAAAATCTTGGCAGTTCATGTTCTAACTTGTTCTCGACCACATTCCACGGTCCACGATGTTCTAAGGCTTGGACCTTTCCAACACAAGGTGATCGGGTCCAGCCAGTTCTTCTGCGTTTTTAAATAACAGGCGCTGTACTCAAATGGCAAGGTGTACTGGCTGAGAATGCCATCCGGCCGAAGGTCTGCAGAACATCAGGTAGACCAAGTCCTCAGGTCTCAAAGTGCACCGAGCCCATCGTACACCGCCGTGGGAAACACTTCCAAGAGAAAGGAGATTTCCTGATACCCAGGAAGCGATCCAACCGCCTACAGTAGCGTGGATCAGGTAAGGCTTCGATAGAGTGGACGGTTCACTGGAATACTTTAGGGCTTCATGGCGCTCGGGGGCAAGGCGTGTGCCGGGCAGGAGTAAGTCGGTGAGGCTCTACGGCATCAAGTTCTGTCCCTTAAGCAAGAATCATGAAAGGCAGCTCCACTCAGCTGAAATGAGGATGCTGAGATGGGCCTGCGGTTGGACACGACTCGACAGAGTCAGAAACGAGGACGTCAGCGCGGTCACACATACGGTTGTAATCAAGTTAAGGCATGAGAAAAGTAGCTACAATGACTGGGCACGTACCGAGGAGGCATGAGGACCACTCGATAAGGAAGCATTGGAATTCGAATAACCGACCACTAGAAGTTCCAAAGTTGGAGAGATTTCATCACGAAGATCTCACTGAGTTCAATTTATAGAAGATGCCTCGAATGGGAGGAACAGCGGACCTTGCGGCAGTGCGGGAATGACGCTGGGGTAGAAGGAAAAAGTCGTGATACGCAAGCGTCGTTCACATCATCGACATTTCCAGGAATGTCTTACAGCACAGTAAAGTCTGCGTCAGTGATTGCTAGAATAGCCCTCCTCAAAGTAAACGACATTGGCTTTCTTGGCGTCTTGGTATTCTTATTTGGGCCCCTATACCCAGAATATCTGGCTTGCCTTCAAAGGCATAAGGAACGATAACTTGGCACTCGCTCTAAAATGGTGGCAGGTGGTATGCAGTGAGAAAATGGCAAAAAGGGAGGTGAAACGGTCAAAAACCTGTAAAGAAGGCCTTGTTCTACACGACTCAAAAAACAATCGGACGAGTTCCCTGCAGGCATCGTGCCAATAATTATACTACGGTAGATACGGCTGCATGTATGTACTCATATATCCATGCAGCACCGCAGCCGCTTCATATCAATCCCTTCGCTTCATATTTTACTTCGCAAATGAAGCGATACGAGCATCAGGATCGGTCGGACATTTGTGGGGGGAAGGGGGAGGGAGGGCGGGGCGCGGACGCGGTGGGCGTGCGGGTCGGTATGTTGCAGCTTGATAGGGCGCTATAAGGGTACCTTTCTTGGGAAAGGCGCCACGCAGCGCTTGCTCGGGGCGCCGAATTCTGTCTTGCTAGGCGTATTAATCCTACACGTCTTGGGGATCTATCGTGCCACTTGCCTATTCAACACGGAACGTTTTGAAGGGCCTTTTATTTCGTTTTGAAGGGCCTTTCATCTCAACTTTCCCACGTGTTGCCTCAAATGATCTCAACTCACCCATATGCAATAGGGTCATTTTTTGGGGAAGGCGCCCTACAGTACCATACTGCACGGGGGCCAACGTTTGCACGCCCACTAGCAACTGGTCCAAGAAAATCTTCCTATTCTATTACTGTATTACTCGATTGAATCAGATAATCCCACGTTTTGATCGACGACAACATTATTTTTTAATCGATTCTGGCGGTCTAATCGGCTTAAGGGATTTCAATCTCAGCACATGCTGGCGAACTTGTTTTTCGAGACCAGTCACACCACGGGCATTCATGTCATTCTGTTTCTGTAGACCGACCACACCAAATGTG